AACTTAAAGTTGCACTAAGTGAAGAATGGGAAAATTTGGATTGCTCCATTTTTGAAGAGGTTGTTGCTTCAATGCCACAAAGAATAAATGCAGTACTAGAAGCAAGGGGAGGGCCAACACATTATTAACCATTTTTAGTAATTATTTTTTATGTGAATTTTAATGAAAATCAATAAAGTTTTGCCATTTTTGGCATTAATTTTAAATCGGGCGTCACTTTCGGACGTGACTGTACATTAATAATGATTTATGCATCTTTCAAAAAGAAAAAATTATTTATCATCGATCATGCAGTATATTTATGGAGTTTGCTTACTTCTTTTTTTCTTGCTTTGATTTTAATTATTATGACAAAAAAAAAATAATTAAATAAACGATATAATAAGATGTTAATTATTCAATTTGCTCAGTTTTATTTATAAAAAATAAAGTTTACGTTTACTATTTTAAATACTAAATAATCCATATAATCAATATTGAGTAAATAATTAAAACATAGTATATTGTAAATCATTGCAAATGCAATTTATAACCTGTAGTATACCTCATATGAATTTAATTAAATTTTGCAATCTAAGCATTCAGAGTTATAATCATCATCATTATCATTATAGTTTGGAAGGTCCTTTGTAAAAGGGTAAAGTAATCGAGATATATAAATAGCCTGTGGATGAGTAGCTGCTTTATAATCTTTAATGGATGAAAGATTTGCACTTGCTTTTCTGTATTCCTCTGCTTCCTTAAATTGTGTTTCAATTTCTTCATTTTCTACTATGAAAATATCCCCTCCATAAGACTTACGAAATGATAAAATTAATTCATTTATTTCAATAATACTTGGTCTATTGTTAGGATTTGAGTCCAAACACTTTTTCATTAAATCAATATAACATTTTGGTGCTTCTGGCTCATTTAATTCAGGTCTATTTCCATTACAAATATCTAATGCAAGAAATTTATCATGTGCACGATTGTAAAAAGGTTGTCTTCCAGTTGCAATAAAATACATTATCATACCAAAACTATAGATATCTGCTGCTTGAGTAAAGGCCTTTCCTCTTAATACTTCAGGAGCTACATAAGGCATAACTCCATAAATATTTTTTTCGTCTACATAACCAACTTCACCACATAATCCCATATCTGAAATTAATATACAATTGCTAAAATCATCTATACTACTTAAAAATAATATATTTCCTGAATGAAAATCACGATGAACTATTTGTTTTTGATGGATTTCAGTAAGACCATTAATAATCTTACATAATACAGACAATTTATTTTGCCAGATGAAATATTCATAATTTTCATTCATCCAATTATTAAAATTTCCATCCTTTGCATAATCAAGAATCAAAATATAATCTTTTGTATCAGGATTTTGAGATATTCCATATATATTAGTGATATTACTTCCCTTAGTTATTGAATATTCTTTAGCCTATTAAAATAAATTGATTGAAATAAAAGATAATATATTACTTACTAAATTAAGTTCACAGAAAAAAATAATTTATTACAAATAATCTTTTAAAAAATTTCATACCTCATTTAAAAATTTGTTGGTAATATTTTGTGAATTATGTAAACATTTTAAGGCAATTACTCTATTTGGATCATTCCTTTTATATGTCTTTTCATCAGCAAAATATTCTAATGGACCATCTTTCCAATTTGCAGAATATACTATAGCAAAACCACCTTTACCTATTTCATTAATATTATTAAACTGATTGTATGGTATCCATTCAAATACTATATCTTCATAGCTATCTAACTTTAATTGCATTTCTTGAACAAAATCATCAATTTTTTCATTTCCACTGATCCAATTTGCTAAATTTAAGTAATTATTCTTGATTAAAATATAATCATTTGTATTTGGATTTTGAGATATTCCATACAATAACATAAATGCTCCATTTTTTGTTAAATATTTTTTAGCCTGAAATATAAATAAAAAAGATCATCATAGTTAGCAATTTATTAAATTAAAAAAGCATTTAAAAATATTTAAGAAAAACGTTATACCTCTTTTATTAGGGATTCAACGGAATTCTGTGTGTTTTGTAAATATTTTAAAGAAACTTCTTTGTTTGGATCCCTTGTATAATCAATGCTATTTTGGTCATCATAATATAATGGACCATCCTTCCATATTGCTGAATATATTGAAATAGAAGTATTTTTGCCAATTTCTTTAATTTCATTAAGTTGATCGTATGGTACCCATTCAAAAACTGAATCTTTATTTGTACTCATTTTTAATTGCATTTCTTTAATGAAATCATCAATTTTTTCATTTCCACTTGCCCATGCAATAACTAAAATATAATCATTTGTATTCAAATTTTGAGATATTCCGTATATGTCACAAATTTCTCTTTCAAATTTTGTTGCAAAATATTTTTCAGCCTAGTAATATATCATAAATAAAGAAATTAATATATTTTATTAAAAAATAATAAATATTTGTAAAAAATTATACCTCATTTATTAGGAAATCAATGGAATTCTCTGAACTATGCAAATATTTTAAAGCAACTTTTTCATTTGAATATCTTGTATATTTATCTTTCAAATTATTATAATATATTGGACCATCCTTCCATATTGCCGAATATACTGTTATCAAATCATTTTCACTTACTTTTTTAATTTCATTAAGTCGATTATAAGGTATCCATTCAAATATTATATTTGTGTTAAAATTTATTTCTTGAATGAAATTATCAATTTTTTTATTTTCACTCACTGACATAAAATTATTTAAAACTAAAACATAATCATTTGTATTTGGATTTTGAGATATTCCATATATATCAAAAATTTCTTTACTAAATTCATTTATTAAATATTTTTCAGCCTATATATAATATATGAGAAATTAATATAATGCATAAAAAAATTACAAAAAATATCTGTATAAATTATATACCTCATTTCTTACAATTTCAATAGTATTCTGTGAGCCATGCAAACATCTTAAAGCAACTTCTAAATTTGAATCTCTTGTATAATTTCTACAATTCTTATTACGATATAATGGACCATCCTTCCATATTGCTGAATATATTGAAATAAAACTACTTTTGTCTATTTCTTTAATTTCATTAAGTTGATTGTATGGTATCCATTCAAATACTGTATTTTCATATGCACCCATCATTTTTATATGCATTTCTTGAATGAATTCATCAATTTTTTCATTTCCACTTTCCCAGATATAATTATTTAGAACCAAAATATAATCATTTGTTTCTGGATTTTGAGATATTCCATATATAACAAAATCCCTTATACCAAAAGTACTTTTTGAATATTCTACAACCTAAAATAGATGAAGAATTAATATATTTTAATAAAAAAGTATTAAAGAGATTATACAAATTTAATACCTTATTTATAACAAATTCAATAGTATTTTGTGAGTTATATAGATATTTTAAAGCAACTGCTTTATTTGAAACTCTTGAGTAATTACTATACTCTTTATCTTTATTATAATATAATGGACCATCCTTCCATATTGCTGAATATATTGTTATAGAACCATTTTTACCTATCTCTTTAATTTCATTAAGCTGATTGTATGGTATCCATTCAAATAGATTATCTTTATATGATGATTCTTTCATTTTTAATTGCATTTTTTGAATGAAATCATCAATTTTTTTATATCCACTTTCCCAGATAAAATTGCTTAGAACAAAAATATAATCATTTGTATCTGGATTTTGGGATATTCCATATATAATGTAAATATCTTTATAACCATAAGTATTTATTAAATATTTTTCAGCCTAAAATAAATAATAAATTAATATTATAATAAAAAAAGTATTAAAGATATTATATAAATTATATACCTCACTTATTACAAAATCAATAGTACTATGTGAATTATGTAAACATTTTAAAACAACTTCCTTATTTGGATTTCTTCCATAATTACTATAAAGTAATGGACCATCCTTCCATATTGCTGAATATGCTGTTATAGAATCATTTTTGCCTATCTCTTTAAATTCATAAATCTGGTTGTATGGTATCCATTCAAATAATACATTTGACTTATATAATGATTGCATTTTTTGAATAAAATTATCAATTTTTTTATTTCCATTTTCCCAGAAAAAATTGCTTAAAACCAAAATATAATCATTTGTATCTGGATTTTGAGATATTCCATATAAAACAAAAATACTTCCGTCATAAATATTTGTTAAATAATTCTCAGCCTAAAATAAATGAGAAATTAATAATATATTATAATAAAAAGTATTAAAGAAAGCATATAAATTTTATACCTTATTTATTACAAAATCAATAGCACTTTGTGAGTTATGTAAATATTTAAAAGTAACTTCTTTATTCGGATTTCTTGTATAACTTGTAGAATAACTAACAAAATATTTATAATTATAACATAATGGACCATCCATCCAAATTGCTGAATATACTGTTATAGAACCATTTTTGCCTATCTCTTTAATTTCATCAAACTGATTGTATGGTATCCATTCAAATACTACATTTGGGTAATGTATAATTTTAAATTGCGTTTCTTGAATGAAATTATCAATTTTTTCACTTCCACTGATCCAATTTGTTATATTTATGAAATTATTTTGAACTAAAATGTAGTTATTTGTAATTGTATTCTGAGATATTCCATATAGTATGTGAAATACTCTTGAATATTTTTTAGCCTATAAATAAGCAAAAGAAATAATGAATATACTAAGTTAGAAAAAAAATTATTTAAATATTAAAGAAATATTATACCTCATTCATTAGAAAATCAATGGAATATTGTAAGTGACAAAAACATTTTAAAGCAACTTTTTTATTTGAATCTCTTGTAAAACTATTATATTCATTATTATATTGCAATGGACCATCCTTCCATATTGCTGAATATACTGTTATAGAATCATTTTTGCATGTCTCTTTAATTTCATTAAACTGATTGTATGGTATCCATTCAAATACTGTATCAATATATTTATCCATTTTTAATTGCATTTCTTGAATAAAATTATCAATTTTTTCATTTATACTGATACAATTTGTTACGTTTATGGAATTATTTTGAACTAAAATATAATCATTTGTATCTGGATTCTGGGATATTCCATATAATTTGTGAAATCCCTCATTGTTTGTTAAATATTTATTAGCCTGAAATAAAATAAAGGCAAATGAACTAGTAAGTATATTAAATTTAAAAAAATACTTAGATTATTAAAATAATATTATACCTCAATTATTAGAAAATCAATGGAATATTGTGAATTACGTAAACATTTTAAAGCAATTTCCTTATTTGGATCTCTTGTATAATTATTATACATATAATTGTATTGTAATGGACCACCCTTCCAAATTGCTGAATATACTGTTATAGAATCATTTTCACCTGTCTTTTTAATTTTATTAAACTGATTGTATGGTATCCATTCTAATATTGCACTTGATAATTGCATTTCTTGAATGAAATTATCAATTTTTTCATTTCCACTGATCCAATTTGTTATGTTAATGGAATTATTTTGAACTAAAATATAGTTATTTGTAGATGAATCCTGGGATATTCCATACAATATATGAAATGCCTTATTGTTTGTTGAATATTTTTTAGCCTGAAATATAGACAAATAACATGGTAAATATATCAAATTAAAAATACTTAATTATTAAGAAAGAAATATTATACCTCATTTATTAGAAAATCAATAGAATGTTGTAAGTTACAAAAATATTTTAAAGCAACTTCTTTATTTGGATTTCTTGTATAACTATTAGTATAGTCATAATTACGATATAATGGACCATCCTTCCATATTGCTGAATATACTGTTATAGAACTATTGTTACCTGTTTCTTTAATTTCATTAAACTGATTATATGGTATCCATTCAAATATAATATCACTATGATCATTTATTTTTGATTGCATTTCTTGAATGAAATCATCAATTTTTTCATTTCCACTGGTCCATTCTGTAAAATGGTTATCTAGACATTTCAGTATATTATTTTTTGTTACTGGTTTGTTTTCAGAAAACATTGTTTTCAAAAAATATTTTCGAATAAAAATTTCCAAAAAAAAGAAAATTTAACGTAATAAATAACTTACATAAGAATTATGTAAGCTTCTTAGTAATATTTTTCAAAATGTCGATCATGTAGCACGAGAAAATTAAGTTAAATTTTATAGCTTAGTATATTATCGCGGATCAATCGGATCATACTACTATTATGGAGATTTTGTTCGACCATTAAAATTGTAACCTAGTAAATTTATTAATTGTGGGTGCAGTATAGGACCCCGAGCAATATATATAGGTAACAAGAAAGGTCAAAATTTTTATAATAGCTCTATGCAAGATTTTTATTATGGTAAATAAGCAAACTCAACATGTGACTTCACAAATTGCCCAAAAATAAGCAATCTAACCATATGACTTTATAATATTATATTTTACAAAAATTATTTGATCAAATTTTCTCGCATTTATTATTACAATTTCACTTTTTTCAATAGTAATATCATCTTAGCTAAAATATCCGTCTTAGTAATTTTTTCCATCTCCTATTAACTTTTGCAT